TTGCTACCATGATGATAAAGGGAGATTCCATGATGACAGCATGCTCAGAGAGCAACCAGTGTAGAGTGGGGCAGACCAAAGCCTCCAGGAAAATGAAGTGAAGGAAGATTTAGACACTGGGGGAGAGCTTGAGGATTAAGAGTGGTAAATACACTTGATTAAAACCAAGCAATGAGAAAACAAGGCAATTGCTATTTCCAAGGAAATAAAAAAGTTGTACTGTAAAGGAAATATAATTCTAGCATATTGCATGGCTCAGCAGTGTTTTGGTAATGTAAACACTAGATACTGATCTTGCCAAGCTGATGATCTAATTAAGGAAGCATGCTTGGATTTGGTGGGTGGAGAGGGTGAAAAAGAGCTTCAGCTCCAGTTTTAAAGTATGAATTCAGTAATGCTCAAAACTGAAAAATCAACAAGGGTCTGTATATTTATAATATTTAATGATAGGGAGATAAATGCAAAAAAGAAAGGGCTGAAAAAAAATGAAAAAGTTTAACTCTGGAAGGTAAGAAATTGGGGATAGACAGGAGTTGGGTAAGATTCTTTTCGTGAAAAATCTTGACTCTTTACGTGACTGTTTATGCCATGCATACGATCAAATAAATAACGCTTTTACTGTACTCCACACTCATACATGCATAGCCTCAAACTCATTTGTTCAACGTTTGTTTTCATTTATATCAAAAGACAGAAATGATCCCTGAAGTTTTCCAGAGCATTCCAAATATCTGAACACACACATGTTGTATGAATATCTATGAATCCAACTTTCCTCTTAACCTCCAAAACCCAACATGTGTAGAGGTTGCCTCCTGATTTGGAGAATACCATGAACTTACCTCCATGCATCACATCAACTCGAATCTTCAATTGGCTGGGCCCAGTCAGCAAGCTCTTGATGGCATGAAAGTCAAAGACAGTCAGAAGGAGGTTGAGATAGATATCCACTGGGTCCACCATCTCTACTAAAGATAGAAAAACAAAGGAAAATGTCATCGACTGTACCCATGAAAGATACTTGGAAGCATAAAAAGAATCACTACCTTAGCAGTATGAAATTTTGATCATAAGCTTATCATATCCCCACACATGATGTGGGGAGTAAAGTGCCTATTTGTTGACAAAAATCACAGATCAAGGCACAATCAAGATACTACAAACTTTTCAGGTGCTCAATGAGTGTAAATTATATACCAAGCTATAAATTCTTTGCAAGGAAAAAACCACAAGAATATATTAAGATAAAAATGTACCCTGTTACTCCTGCCCTCACTTCCCCTCCCCCCAAAAATGCACATAGCACGCATCTCAATACTTAGAGGCATTTTGGCATATCTAGTTGCCTTTCCTGTGGGGGTTGGCCAAAGACTGACTGACTCAGTATGAAGCAAATCAGCAAATGACCTCAGTAGTGACCCCTATTTTCGAAATGCCATTGTTCCTACGAGATTCAAGTGCAGAATTGGTGATGAGTATATTCCTGAGTTTGCATGAAATGTCTTTCATGCCCAAACTGGCACCCAATTTACAAGTGAATGGCAAATATCTAGAAATTCTCATTAAACAGGAATTCAAAAAGTTTTATTCATTTCTTTGACATACCAAAAAGCTCAGAATACATTACATTTTTCATACTTGTCAATCAGTATATAATTAATGCTCAGAAAGTACTTTCCCAAGAAGTAGTAAATATTCAATTCTTTAGGTGCTAAAATTTGTCCGGGAGCCCTGCTTTTTAAATTCATAGCTAAATTTTGAAACTTATGTATATTGCTTTCAAATTTTTCAAATACATACTACTTTGGAACCCTGAAATACTTTCAAACTTGCACTGAAGATATTACCAAAGATGGTACACTTTCAGTAATTTTTAGTAAATCCAGGTGTGGTAGTTAATGGATGACACCTTAATATGCCATATAATATTATCCCTTCATCTGGTCAAATACATATCTAAAAATATTTTTTCTTGCACTTAAGTCAATGTAATCTATGTGTCCATTCAAATATAATTATATTTGTAACATGAATACTTTTTAATTATCTTTTCACATGAGCATAATAATCTATAATTAAAGTGTACACCTAACAATGGTTAAAACAGTAAATTTTGTTATGTATATTTTGCCACCATAAAAAATTAATCTGTAGGCTAAAAGGTATGCCCTGAGTACTCAGGAAGTTTTACTCACTCTACATTATAGGATAATATTTTCTGACAATTCCTGGTTCTTCAGTTCTTGAACCAATTGCCTAAATACATTTGGTATTTACAGTAGATAACATACAGTACCAAACAAACATGAAAAAGGAGGGAGCAAGAAAAATTCACATCAAGTAGTTCTTGCACGTGACACTTTAAAGTGAAATGTAAAGGACTTGTTTTCAATTAACGCAAGCTTTACTTAACACTTGAACCAGTGAGACTATAGCACATAAATTATCCCAAACGATTATCTACATATTCTTGGAAGCCAGGGAATCCCTCCACCCATGTCCTGGAATCGCTAAAATTTTAGAAACCTCATGCAAATAGCAATGTGGCTGCCACAATGAGTCTGAATGAGAGCTCATGAAGATTCAAGTCCCTTGGACAACTATAAAAATTGTGAAGATAGCAAAAATAAGCCCAGTCCTTCTAAGCATATGTAATCAGCATATTGAAATAATTTTGCTTAATATAATGTATCCCTTGCCTTCAATTGTCCAGCCATCCCATGTGTGTGCATGTATTCTCCCAGCTAGATTAACAAAAGCAGGCACTGTTGCTTCCAGTGAGCATCATGGCTCTCTATAAATTTCTGCTCACTACCTAAGCAACTGACTCAAAACTTCTCAAGAAAGATTTGGTAACATTGAGCCAATAGTGTGACCCCCACACAATCCATTTTAAGCTTTTCTCTGTCTCCGAAATACCACATGGATATGAACCAGATATTTCATCTTTTTGACTAAGTCAAATACTTCTAAAATGAGGATACTATCTTAACACAAACTGTATTCAAGCTTATAGGAACACTAAAAAAGAGAATATGTTAGATCTATTGCTATTAGATGCCTTCTAGGAAAGAGCAACAGGATAAAACGAGAGGAAAAATGATGTGCACATACATGGTATTAATATTGTCATTATATGGTTTAAAATTAACCTACAAAATGAAAAGCTATTTTCTGAGTACTGTAGAAGTTGTATTTGCTTTACAATATAAGATAATAGTTTTGACAATATCATTTGGTTCTTTAATTTTTGTATCACTTGCCTAAATATATTGGGTAGTTACTGACTTCCTTTGCAAAATCTCCTAACACAGTTCTTGGTATAGGGCAGCTGATCAATAATTATGCATTCAATAAGCTGATACATGACCCCATTGACTTGTTATTTTTCTTCATAACTAGCTAAGGCATTCCAGCGTCTTCACCTTAACTGCTTAGACAAGTTTTGGCAATTTACAGCCTATTCTTGGAATGCTATAATATATAATATATAATAATATAAACCATAAAACTTTTCCTATGTTGAAAATGATATTAAGTTGGTAAGTGGTTTTTGAAAGTTTCCAGTTCTGAATATCCTGGCTGCTCTCATGTCTTCTCTCTACGCCATGTTCAATTTACACATATTTATCAAGAGCCACCGCTGAGATTGACAATGCAATAATTTTTATGAGTGTACTTTCCTACAGAAACCAGTCAGCCCCATCCACGTGGTTATTCTGACTTGTTGAAATAAAATCTGTTACCTCTGAATGCTTTGAATTTATTCTCTAGGTCAAATTCTTGTCTTCCTAGTCGAGATAGGTCAATTTAGAGATCAGGACATATAGCATATTTCTCAGTTATTTTGCTGATCTGGTAGATTTTGTCTGAGACAACATCTGGTGCAGCACCTAAAATTTGAACACCAAATATACGTTTTTAAAAGTCTCATGAATTGCAAACAGAGAAATGTTACCATCCTCCTCCACCAGGCAGAGCAAGATTCATTTGTTCTCTTAACGACGATCAATGGTTCACAGTTCAATTAGCCTTGATATTTTTTACACTGTACTCATCCGCTATGGGGGAAATTTGGTTAGCTCACCTGTCCTGTGTAGACCAACAACTCACATGTTTGTTTGTTTGCTTTAATCCACTTCTAAGCAATGACACATCTTTCCTAAAAATAGCTTCACACCTGCCAGGGAGACCCGGTTACATAATCAGCTTTATTCAGGCCATGAGACACAAACAGGATATGCATTTGACAGAAGTGAGGGATTCCAGATTTATACTGCAGTTTCATTTCCCCAGTGCACCTAGAGGAAACCACTTTCTATTCCTAGCTCTACTGCCTAATTGATTTCTGAGCTTAGCAGGGCAAGTTAATTATTTTCTCAACTCAAAATCTCTAGCCACTTCCCAGTTTCTAAAATGAAGCTCAACTAAAAATACATGATGCATTTCCTCAGAAGGTCAAATTGACACGTAGTATTAGACTTTAAATAAATTAAACATGAAATCAACACTTGTTCACCTTTTGGGGTTTTGCTCTTTTTTACTTTGTATAACTTAATGCAAGCCATTTTAGGTTTTTTGTTTGTGTTTTGAGGTTGTTTGGGACACAAGTAAGTAGATTGAAAGATCTAAGGTATAAATGACAGACAGCTTTCTGTATGAATCTTACTTGTCAACTATACTGTAACTTTCTACTAAACAAAGATTAAATAATCTTAATCCATAGAACTGCACTGTCCAATACAATAGTTACTAGCCATATTTTGTTGAGCACTTTAAATGTGGCTAGTCAAGTTGAGGTGTGCTGCAATTGTAAATGCACACCAAATTTTGAAGAGTTCGTAGAAAAGTGTAGTAGATTGAATTAATAATTTTTATATCAATGATGTGGTATAATAATGTAGATATAGTAGGTTAAATAAAATACATTGTGAATTTCACTTGTTTTAGATCTTTTTTTTTTTTTTCTTCTCGAAATGGTGTCTTGCTCTGTCTCCCAGCCTGGAGTGCAAGGGCACAATCTTGGCTCACTGCAACCTCTGCCTCCCAACTTCAAGCACTTCTCCGACCTCCGCCTCCTGAGGAACTAGGATTACATATACCCACCACCATGCCCAGCTAAGTTTTGTATTTTTTAGTAGAGATGGAGATTTCACCATGTTGGCCAGGCTGGTCTTGAACTCCTGACCTTGTGATCAGCCTGCCTTGGCCTCCCAAAGTGCTGGGATTACAGGTGTGAGCCACTGCACCTGACCGAATTTCACTTTTTTTAATGTGGCTACTTAAAAATTTAAAATATGTACGTGACTCACAATATTTTCCTGTTGGACAGCACTGTCTTAGAGTGTAGCACCATCACCATATCCCAATAAATGCTCATAAAAAAGAATAGCAAGAGTCCTATGTATTAAGTGGGAGAGAAGACAGCTCAGAAGAGTTTACCAACAACTTTCTTATTGTGTAGGAAAAGTGAAGACCTCAAAGAAATAAACATAGCCCTTTGTTTCACTTCTTACCATATTTTACCCTTCATAAAACTTAAAGAATAGGTAGTCTTGTTTAGTTTTTGCATTATTTTGTGCTTGCTAGATTACAATGCATGAATATCTTTCTACAACCCAGGCACCACACTATGTTCTTTAGCTGTGTCCATCATTTTCAAGTCCCTTAATTTTAATACCAAAGCACACTGGTTTCCAAAAGTAAAATAAGTGCTGACTCTCTAGATAATTGTCTATGATGCCATTCAGCCATCCATGTTGATAACTTCAGAGTTCACCAACAACTTCTGAATTCCTTGTCAATTTCCAAGTTCCTTAATATCTTCCACTTGACTTTCATCATATGTACCCCAAAACTATGTACAATTATAAGATATATTGAAATAAATGTTTTTTAAAGGATATGGCAAATCTATAGGCACTCATATGAGAACAAATTTTAAAATGCTAAAAAAAAAAGAATATCCAAACAGATTTTAAAGTGCATAAAATAAATAAATGGAAAATGGAAAAGCTACAAGGCTTTTTAACTTGCTGTAGTCCCATTTATTTGTTTTTGCTTTTGTAGCCTGAGCTTTTGATGTGATATCCAAGAAATCACTGCCAAGGCCAATGTCAAATAAATTTTTCCCTATGTTCTCTTCTAGGAGTTTTATGGTTTCAGATCTTACATTTAGGTCTTCTATTCATTTTGAGTTTATTTCTATGTATAGTGCAAGATAAGCGTCCAATTTCATTCTTTTGCATTTTTATTTTCCCAGCCATCATTTACTGAAGAGGTTTTGTTTTTTTCTTTCTCCCTTAAGTCCTCTTGGTTCTCTGGTTCAAAATTAGTTGACTATGTATGTTTTGATTTATTTCTGGGCTCTTTATTCTGTTCCAATGGTCTGTATTTCTGTTTTTATGCCAGTACCGTAGTGTTTTGATTACTTTAGCTTTGTAATTTAATTTTAAATTAGCAAGTGTGGTACTTCCAACTTTTCTTTTTCCTCAGCATTACTTAGTTTTTTTTGTGGCTCCATACAAATTTTAGTATTGTTTGTGCATTTCCATGAAGGATGTTATTGGAATTTTGATAAGGGTTGCATTAAATCTGTATATTGTTTTGGGTAGTGTGAATATTCTTATAATATTAGTGCTTTTGATTCATGAGCACAGGATATTTTTCCATTTATTTGCATCTTGTACAATCTCTTTCATCAATCTTTTTTAGTTTTCAATCTACAAATCTTTCATCTCCTTGAATAAATTTGTTTCTAAGTAGTTTTTTATGTTATCATAAATGGGATTCTTTTCAGCTGGGTCATTGTTTCTGTATAGAAAGGCTACTGATGTTTGTATGTTGATTTTATATCGTGCAACTTACTCAATTCATTAGTTCTGAGAGAGAGAGAGAGAGTATGTGTGTGATCTTTGGGATTTTCTATATATAGAAATTTCAAATCCCTATATATGACATGATCTATATATAGGATCATGTCATCTGTAAATAGAGATCATTTTACTTCTTCCTTTCCAATTGGGATGATTTTATTTATTTTTCGTGTCTGATTGCTCTTGCTAGTACTTCCAATACTATGTTGAATAGAAATAGCAAGAGTGGGCATCCCTGCCATGTACTAGATTGTGGAAAAGTTTTCAGTTGTTCCCAACTGATTATGATGTGAGCTGTTGGTTTCTCATAAAAGGCCTTTATTATGCAGAGAAACTTTCCTTCTATACCTAAAATGTTAAGAGTTTTTGTCAAGAAAGAATGCTGAACTTTGTCAAATGCCTTTCCTGTACCAATTGAGATTATCATGTGGTTTTTATCTTTCATTCTGTTAAGTCAGTTTTTGCATGTCAGGGATAAATCCCACTTGGTCATGATGCATAATTTCTTTGATGTGTTGTTGAATTTGGTTTTCATCAATATTTATCAGAGATATTGGCCTGAAGTTTTATTTTCTTAACATACGTTGTCTGGCTTAGGTATCAAGGTGATGCTGACCTCATAAAATGTGTTTGGAAGTATTCCCCGTAGCTCTAATTTTTGGAAGAGTCTAACAAGTATCGATAATAATTATTCTTTGAAGGTTTGATAAAATTCAGCCATGAAGCCATCTGGTCCTAGGCTTTTCTATTTTGGAAAGTTTTTCATCACTTCCTTAACTTCTTTATTTGTTGTTGGAGTGTTTAAACTTCCTGTTTCTTCCCAATTCAATCTTGATAGGTTATTTTTTCTAGAAATTTATCCATTTCTTCTAGGTTCTCTAATTTGTTAGCATAAAATTGTTCATCATAATCCCTAATGATCATTTTGATTTCTGAGGTATCTATTGCAATATCTCAGCTTTCATTTCTGATTTTATTTATTTGAGAGGGAGGACTCAAGATGGCGCTGTGAGAACAACCCAGGATTGAAGCTCTCGCTGGATGCACGGAGAGGGTGAGTCGGGGACGCATTTCCAGACGGATCTTAGTTGCCCACAGAACGGGGAAATTCCCAGGTATAAAAGAGACGCGGGACGCCAGGCAGAGGCCTAGGCTGGTGTAGCTGGCAGTCGGTGCGGCTGCGGCCCGCGCCGGAGCGCAGAGGCGCTCCACAGCGCTCCATGCAAAAATGCACTGTTACAGGTGCCCTGTTGAACTGGCAAACTGAGACCTGAGAGGGCTGAACTTGAGACTGAACGGGACTTGGACAGTGAGCCAGCCCAGGAAATCCCAGGGAAACAGCGTTTGGGGTAGCGCAGTGCGACAAACCAAACGGCGATTCCAAATGCTCCCAGTGAGGAGGTTTTCTTAAAGCACAGCTCTGTTGGGGAGGGGCATTTGCCATTACCGAGGCAATCAGCCCCTACTGAGGTACACGCCCATTGCTGACACAGCCTGCCATTGCCGAGGCAACCCGGTACAACAGAGAGACTCTGCCGCAGGGCGTAGCCCGTGGCAACAAGGCGGAGACTGCAGCAGAAGGCCAGAGCCTGCAGCAACAGGGCAAACCTCACACCAGCAGGGCGGAGCCTCGGCAGGCAAAGAGTGACTAGACTGCCTCCTAGCTGGGCAGGACAGCGAGGCGGACACTCACAAGGAAAGCCCCAACACCCCCCCAGACAGAGCATCTGAGAAAAAAAGGTTTTTTTAATGAGTTATATTGCAGCAGAATTAAACATAGCAGCCTAACAGCCCTGAATGAACAATAGAGCTCACAGCTCAGCACTTGAGCTCCTACAAAGTACAGACTGTCTCCTCAAGCAGCTCCCTGACCCCTCTATATCCAAAAGACTGACATTTGGCAGGCATCATTCTGGGACAAAGATAGCAGAAAAGGAAACTGGTAGCATCCCTCGCTGTTCCGCAGCTGCTATAGGTGCACCCCAGACAAGCAGGGCCTGGAGTGGACCTCAGCAGTCGTACAGCGAAGAGGCTAGGCTGGTAGAAGGAAAACCAAGTAACAGAAATAATTCATCATCAACAATCTGGGTGTCCACTCAGAGACCCAATCGAAAAGTCAGCAACTACATAGACAGCTGGATCAATCCACAAAGATGGGAAGAAACCAGCGCAAAAAGGAGGAAAACACCCGAAACCAGAACACCTCACCACCTAGAAAGGACCAAAACTCCTCACCAGCAAGGGAACAAAGCTGGATGGAGAATGACTGTGACGAAATGACGGAATTAGACTTCAGAAGGTGGATAATGAGAAACTTTTGTGAGCTAAAAGAACATGTTTTAAATCAATGCAAAGAAACTAAGAACCTTGAAAAAAGATTTGAGGAAATGATAACAAGAATGGATACCTTAGAGAGGAATATGAATGAATTAAAGGAGCTGAAAAACACAATACGAGAACTTCGCAAAGCATGCAGAAGTTTCAATAGCCGAATTGACCAAGCAGAAGAAAGAATATCAGAAGTCGAAGATAACTCAATGAAATAAAACGAGAAACCAAGATCAGAGAAAAAAGCACAAAAAGGAATGAACAAAGTTTCCAAGAAATGTGGGACTATGTGAAGAGACCTAACCTATGTTTGATAGGTATACCAGAATGTGATGAAGAGAATGAATCCAAGCTGGAAAATACTCTTCAGGACATTATCCAGGAAAACTTCCCCCACCTAGCAAGACAGGCCAACACTCAAATGCAGGAAATACAGAGAACACCACAAAGATATTCCACAAGAAGAGCAACCCCAAGGGACATAATCGTCAGATTCAACAAAGTTGAAATAAAGGAGAAAATACTAAGGGCAGCCAGGAAGAAAGGTCGGGTCACCCAAAAAGGGAAGCCCATCAGACTCACAGCAGATCTCTCAGCAGAAACTCTACAAGCCAGAAGAGAGTGGGGGCCAATATTCAACATCCTTAAAGAAAAGAACTTTCAACCCAGAATTTCATATCCAGCCAAACTGAGCTTCAGAAGTGAAGGAAAAATAAAATCCTTTGCAAACAAGCAAGTACTCAGAGATTTTGTCACCACCAGGCCTGCTTTACAAGAGCTCCTGAAAGAGGCACTACATATAGAAAGGAACAACCAGTACCAGCCATTCCAAAATCACACTAAATGCTAAGGAGCATCAATATAATGAAGAATCTACAACAACTAATGGGCAAAACAGCCAGCTAGCATCAAAATGGCAGTATCAAATTCACACATAAGAATATTAACCCTAAATGTAAATGGACTAAATGCACCAATCAAAAGACACAGACTGGCAAATTGGATAAAAAGCCAAAACCCATCAGTGTGCTGTATCCAGGAAACCCATCTCACATGCAAGGATACACAAAGGCTCAAAATATAGGGATGGAGGAAGATTTACCAAGCAAATGGAGAGCAAAAGAAAGCAGGAGTTGCAATTCTCATCTCTGATTAAATAGACTTTAAAGCAACAAAGATCAAAAGAGACAAAGAAGGCCATTACATAATGGTAAAAGGATCAATACAACAAGAAGAGCTAACGATCCTAAACATATATGGACCCAATGCAGGAGCACCCAGATACATAAGGCAAGTTCTTAATGACTTACAAAGAGACTTAGACTCCCACACAATAATAGTGGGAGACTTTAACACTCCACTGTCAATATTAGACAGATCAACCAGACAGAAAATCAACAAGGATGTCCAGGGCTTAAACTCAGACTTGGAGCAAGCAAACCTGATAGACATTTACAGAACTCTTTACCCCAAATCCACAGAATATACATTCTTCTCAGCACCACATCACACCTACTCTAAAATTGACCACATAATTGGAAGTAAAGCACTGCTCAGCAAATGCAAAACAACTGAAATCATAACAAACAGCCTCTCAGACCATAGTGCAATCAAGTTAGAACTCAGAATTCAGAAACCAACCCAGAACCGCACAGCTTCATGGAAACTGAACAACTGGCTCTTGAATGTTGACTGGATAAACAACGAAATGAAGGCAGAAATAAAGAAGTTCTTTGAAACCAATGAGAACGAAGACACAACATGCCAGAATCTCTGGGATATATTTAAAGCAGTATCTAGAGGAAAGTATATAGCAATAAGTGCCCATATGAGGAGAATGGAGAGATCCAAACTTGACACCCTATCGTCAAAATTGAAAGATCTAGAGGAGCAAGATCAAAAAAACTCAAAACCCAGCAGAAGACAAGAAATAACTAAGATCAGAGCTGAACTGAAGGAGATTGAGACACGAAAAACCCTCCAAAGAATCAATAAATCCAAGAGCTGGTTTTTTGAAAAGATCAACAAAATAGACCACTAGCCAGATTGATTAAAAAGAAAAGAGAGAACAACCAAATAGATGCAATAAAAAATGATAAAGGGGAAATCACCACAGATTCCACAGAAATTCAAACCATCATCAGAGAATATTACAAACAACTCTATGCACATAAACTAGTAAACCTGGAAGAAATGGATAAATTCCTGGACTCCTGCGTCCTCCCAAGCCTAAACAAGGAGGAAGCTGAAACTATGAATAGACCAATAACAAGGGCAGAAGTCATGGCAGCAATTAAGAGCCTACCACACAAAAAAAGCCCAGTCCAGACGGGTTCACAGTCAAATTCTACCAGACACACAAAGAGCAGCTGGTACCATTATTTCTGAAACTATTCCAAATAATCCAAAAAGAAGGAATCCTTCCCACATCATTCTATGAGACCAATATCATCCTGATACCAAAACCTGGCAGAGACCCAACAAGAAAAGAAAACTTCAGGCCAATATCCATGATGAACATAGATGCAAAAATCTTCAATAAAATATTGGCAAGCCGATTGCAATAGCAAATCAAAAAACTTATTCATCGTGATCAAGTAGGATTCATCCCAGGGATGCAAGGCTGGTTCAACATATGCAAGTCTATAAACGTAATTCACCACATAAACAGAACCAAAAACAAAAACCACACGATTATTTCAATTGATGCAGAGAAGGCATTTGACAAAATTCAACAGCTTTTTATGCTAAAAACCCTTAATAAACTCGGTATCGATGGAACGTATCTCAAAGTAACAAAAGCTATTTATGACAAACCAACAGCCAATATCATACTGAATGGGCAAAAACTGGAAGCATTCCCTTTGAAATCCGGCACTAAACAAGGATGCCCTCTGTCACCACTCCTATTCAATATAGTACTCGAAGTTCTAGCCAAAGCAATCAGGCAAGAAAAAGAAATAAAGGGTATTGAAATAGGAAAGGTGGAAGCCAAATTGTCTCTATTTGCAGACGACATGGTAGTATACCTAGAAGACCCCATCGCCTCAGCCCAAAAACTCCTGAAACTGTAAGCAGCTTCAGCAAAGTCTCAGGATATAAAATCAATGTGCAAAAATCACAAGCCTTCCTCTACACCAGTGACAGACTTAAAGAGAGCCAAATCAAGAACGAACTGCCATTCACAGTTGCTACAAAAAGAATAAAATACCTTGGAATACAACTGACAAGGAACGTAAGGGACCTCTTCAAGGAAAACTACAAACCACTACTCAACGAAATCAGAGAGGACACAAACAGATGGAGAAACATTCCATGTTCATGGTTAGGAAGAATTAATATCGTAAAAATGGCTATACTGCCCAAAGTAATTTACAAAATCAATGCTATACCCATCAAGCTACCTTGACTTTCTTCACAGAACTGGAAAAAACCACCATGAACTTCATATGGAACCAAAAGAGAGCCCGCATACCCAAGTCAATTCTAAGCAAAAAGAACACAGCGGGGGGGCATCACACTACCGGATTTCAAACTATACTACAAGGCTACAGTAATCAAAGCAGCATGGTACTGGTACCAAAACAGAGATATAGACCAATGGAACAGAACAGAGGCATCAGAGGCAACACAACA